TGATTCTAGCTGGTTCAAGTGAAAATGGGAGGAGAGGAAGTGGAGCTGGTGCTTTCAAGGAGTTCTGTTTTCTGTTGCCTAAGTGCAGGTTAGGAGAGGGCAGCGAGTTGCATTTAACCTGGGATTGCGGTTTTGCCAGGAGAGTGCTATGGAGGCAAGGGAGCTGAGCACTGATGTGAATTTGATGGACCATGTACTCTAAGTCGGCAGGGAGCAAAATTGACACATGGGGGAGATGGGGGGCAGCACGAGGCTGTGGGGTCAGTGGATTCAAGGCATAGGGTCAAGGAATTGTTGGAGTAGGGATAGTCAAAGAGTAGGGTACTTGAGTTTGATATTATGAAGGGATGCAGTTATGGTTAACATCAAGGTCTAGGGCAGTGCTGTCCAGTAGAAATATAATGTGAGCCACATGTATAATTTTTTTTTCTTCTTTTTTTTCTTTTTTGTGAGGAAGATTAGCCCTGAGCTAACATCTATTGCCAATCCTCCTTTTGCTGAGGAAGATTGGCCCTGGGCTAACATCCGTACCCGTCTTCCTCTACTTTATATGGGATGCTGCCACAGCATGGCTTGATAAGCAGTGCGTTGATCCGTGCCCAGGATCCGAACCCCAGGCCACCGAAGTGGATCACGCCAACTTAACTGCTATGCCACTGGACCGGCCCCCACATGTGTAATTTTTAATATTCTAGTAGCCATATTTTTAAAAAGTATGAAGAAGCAAATTAATTTTAATACTGTATATTACTTAGCTCAATATATGTAAAATATTATGTGAACATGTAGTCAAAATAAAAATTATTGAGATATTTTACATTTATTTTGTACTGTCTTTGAAATCTGATATGGATTTTATACTACTAACACCTCTTAATTCAGACTATATACATTTCTAGTACTCAGTAGCCACATGTGGCTTACGGCTACCATACTGGACAGCGTAGGTCTTGGGGATGACCATGGAAGTGCAGTCCAAGATTATTGGAGGAGAGTGGGTCAAGTAACAGAGAGGTCAAGGTTTATGAAGGATTGTCTACATGGGTCTGAAACCACTTATGACTCCTGATGAGAGGGGCAGGGTTGGAGAGGCAGGAGGGGAAGGCCATGGGTGTTGGTAGGGGTCAGTGCCTCAGTGGCCACTGCTCTAACTTTCTACCCACCAAGGAGCATTTCCTGACTCTGATCCTGCCCCTCTTCTCAAAGCATCTGTGAGGTTCTGAGGGATTGCTCTTGCCTCATTTCAAACTAAAGTGGTAACTCCTTGGAATCATGGGTGTGTGGGGCAAGATTTCTGAGTCACATTAAAATATTAGAACACAAGGCCATAATTTTGACAGGATCTTCCAAAAATGGCAACTTTTCATTTGGGTTTTTACTTTTCATCCAGAAGGCCTTTCACTGAATCACTAATGAAAATGTTAACTCAATGTGAGCAACTCATTACAGTCAGTTTTTTCCCCCAGGAAAAAATATCCTTTTGATTCTTATCTTTATTTTGTCCTATCTTTAGATTCCTATCTTTACTTTGGCATAATCCTCAAATTCTACTAGGTATACTTAACAATCCTAAATGTGCTTGAATCCCTGTAGAAGCTTCAAGGCAGTGCCATGTGATACAGGCGGCAGCATACAAAACCTGCCTGCCCTCGTCCAATGCTTTTGAAAGGGCAGATGTTGTCATCCTTTTACTATGCAGAGAATTTACCTATATATATATATATGTATATTTTCTGGCTTTGATCCACATTGTGTCTTTAAAGATCAGTAAGAATTGATGATGAGATCAGAAAACTGTTTTGTAGCCTTGGTAGGCCAGGAAAAGTAAACTGTTTTGAAAGGGTAAACAGGAACACCTCAGCAGCACCCATGCTCTTACTACCTGCCATACCGATAAGGAGGCCCAAGGGGAAAGGTAAATGGATGCCTTGATTCTGTACCTTTATCAGGTCTAAATTACTTTAGGTTCCCTTTAGTTTGTTTCCTGCTATATTAAGATAAACCAAAAATCCTACTGGCCCCTAGTATTTAGGAAGAGCCTATTTTGAGCCATGTGCTTGTGAACCTTATGTTCTTGGATGACTTCAGTGTTGAAGGGGTAATTTGCCTGTTCATTTTATATGAGCTAATGTCATGAGAAATTGAGATCTAGGTAGTCTGTATTGTCAGTGTCCAGACTTGAGTAATCCCCTAAAGGCATCATAGAGAATTGCTTGGTCACTAACTGTGCACTCTCTTTTAAATAGAATGTCCTCCTCACACCATTGTATTCACATGAAGGAAAACTCAGTAAACACAATTTAGTAATAATGAAAGCTTACTCATTACATAAATTTTCTTAAACTCTTTATTCTAATTAAAATGTTTCCATCTGATGGGGAAGTGTATGAAGACCAAGAACTGGAAATTAAGCAAGAAATTAAAAGAACATTAATGGCTTTATTGCAATTTGTTTTGAGGTTTTTCTCCCCACTAAATGGTGTTTTGCTTATAAAGTCACTGCTTCACACATAAATCTTTATGACGAATGGACTGGAATGTATCCCAGCAAAAGAAGAGCTATTTTATGATGCCACTTGTAAATTATAACACATGTTATGTAAGAGAACCAAAGTATCAGCTTTTTAAAAGCATTGTTAGCATAATGACTTGATTTCGTACACACACAATTCTAGTTTCTTTGAAAGTCAAAGTCAATGTGTCCAGGAGACTAGGAGAGTGAGTGTTTTGACATTTATTCATTGTTTTTTTTAGACCTGGGTCACTAGCATGCTCTTGTTATAGTTCTTGCCTCAAAAAGTCCAGGGTATAACATTTAAACTTGTAATTTATTCCTTCAGAAATTTACTGCTGAAACTTAGACTTGAACCAATATAACCTTAACCGAGGCGCATATTTGGCCTGCAGTAGGCCAGCACTTGCCCTTCCTCATCCTCAGCTCTCTGGATGGTTCTGTGTGTTTCATCTGGATTTGCCTTTACTAATAAAGTATTCATTAACCCGAAACTCCCATCTCTGGGTGTAGATGTAGGTGAAGGAAGAGAAATACCATACCCCACAGCCCTTCATGATCAAGTACAACATGCCCCACCAGCCGCATCTGACCTCCTCACTCCCACCCTCCCGAGACTCGGACTCTTCACACTTCTGTCCTTTCAACATGCTGTTTCCTTCTCCATCCCATCCCTTCCTCCCCAGTTCTGCTTTATCCGGCAGACTCTTTTTAGAGGCCAGCGCAGATGTCACTTCTCCATGCACCCTTTCTACACAGCCTGTTCTGTGGTTCACTCTTACCATAGGCACTGCTTTCCATATCCCTGTGAGGGCTCTTGCCACATCATATTGTAATTTATCTCTTTATTGGTGTCTTTAATCCACTAAACGGTGAGCTCTTTGAGGGCAGGTGCTGGGCCTCACCTATTTCTCTTTCCCTAAAGCCCAGCCCAGCATCTGTGGTAGTTGTGAGGGAAGGAATAGGGGTGAATGAATGGGGGAAGTGATGGTGGGGTAATGTACCTTCAAGCCAAAAAGGTGAACTCAATGACTATTTTAGGGGAAGAGAATAAATACTATTTTGTTTATACAAGTCTTAAAATTTTGGTAACAGAAAGCAAATGTGCAAAGAGCAGACTCAGAAGCTGCTGTCTGATTCCACAGAGACGATCACATTTTATGTAAAAAAAAAAAATGAAAATGTTAACTCCTTGATCACCTTGAAATCTTCAGTTTGTTGTTCTGATGTCTTAATTAACCTAATTATTTAATTGAATAACTCCTAGGGATATAGATCATAAATGTCATGAGGACTTTCCTTGAAGAAGCCAGCTCTTTTCTTTTCATAATGTGTCCTTTTTAGTACCATCTTCTAGACTTGTGAAATTGACTGGCCTCTGAGCATTGGACACATGCCTGAATATGATGGTTCTTTTTTACTTACCTTGCTACACTAGAATTCAGTACTCATGCTTATATTCAGTCAGTTTGAGGTTTGGTTGGAAATAAGTCCCAAATTGGAAAAACAGATTAGCATCATCCTTTCCACGGGCTCCCAACTTGCCCTATAAAACTCATTAGTCCAATGTTCAGTGTTTTACCTCAAATCAGTCACTTTATGGCTCTTCCCCCCAACAGTACCTAAGCAAGGGGAGGTAGATCAGAGACAGATTAGAACGAACAGATCTGCTGAGGCTTTCCTTCAGCATCAGTATGCATTTTGGTAGTTTTAAGGGCCACTGTATAAGTCACCTGTGGCTTATTAGGATCTCACATCAGTAGGAAGTGTCAGTCCTTTTTCTCGTTCAGTATCCCTTTTCAAATACTGTATTTTTCTAACCTGTGAAACTGGCCTAGGAAGTAACAACTGGAAGTGCTGGGAATTGAAAAGTCCACCTTCTTAGTGCTATGCTTCAACTAATAGTCTCTGGCAGGGGAGCCTCTCGAAGCATTGTGTTCTCTTATATCAGTATGAATATGTACTTAGACATGTTAATCTGAATTAGAGAGCTGATTGTACATAATGACTCCCCTGGGATGCTGTGTTAGAAAAAAACAAAACAAAAGCTTAAGTAGTGTACTGAATATGCAGTCAGTAAAAAATTCTTCTAAAATTCGTGTTAATGGAATCTGAACCTTGATCCTCTTTGAACCTTTAATTTTTAATTTGATCCTTTAAAAAAGTTCTGTGGTCTCTTAAAGAGGCCTACAACCCAATAAAAGTTATCCTGTAATGATTGCAAAAAGACCAGTTGTGAAAGACCCAATTTTGAGTTAGCATAAGGAAATAAGTCAGATGTGTGGGTATATATGTGTATAATAAGTGTGTGTGTGGGGTACATATATGCATGTACATATACATACATGTGTGTTTAATATATACTTTAGTTTGCCTTTATCCAGATGTCTCCTTTTCTCTCTGCCTCTGGAAATGGGGCAAATTTTCTTCAGTTAAAAACAAAAATAGAAGCGACGGTCTTGACCCATTTTACACTTATTTATTTCAGGCTCTCACCACACACTTGTTCATGGGCACAGCAAGAAGAGGGATCCACAGAGCTGGAGCCGTGAAGGCTGACACATTGGAATGAAAGCTGGCAGAATTCGTAGGGAGAGCTTTGCCATCCTGCCAGTTCCATATCTGGCTTCAAGACAATTCTATTAGTGAATTAATTGTACTCAAAACCCGAAATTAATTTGAACCGAATGTTACTAAAAATGACATAGATTAAAGTAACCCACTCTTGCTTCATCTAGAGTTCTTCTGAAGGAGATCTACGGCCTGACCTACCTCTGGGAGAGCAGGTCCCTCTCTACATACCACGTGTCACAGAGGCCTGCGTGACCATCTTCACACCAGATGCCATTCTCAGGCCCTTAGCAACCTTCTTTTTTCATAAGAGCACTCACTCCGCCAAGTGATGACATATTTATGTGTTGGTTACATCTGTCTCCTATGAGAATGGAAGCTCCACAAGAGCAGGGCCTCTCTCTTGTTCACTCTGTGTCTCCGGTGCGGAGGACAGTGCCTGGCACAGTGTAGACTCTAAATAAATACTGTTGGATGAATGAATGGGTCAGTAGCATTGCATCCTTTCTGAATGTTTTCCTTTTAATTTGCCTTTTATTTATTTATTTTTTTAATTTAATTTTATTTATTTATTGTTTTTCCCCCAAAGCCCCAGTAGATAGTTGTATGTCATAGCTGCACATCCCTCTAGTTGCTGTATGTGGGACGCGGCCTCAGCATGGCCGGAGAAGCGGTGCGCGGGTGCGCGCCCGGGATCCGAACCCGGGCCGCCTTCAGCGGAGCGCGCACTTAACCGCTAAGCCACAGGCCGGCCCTAATTTGCCTTTTATATATGACTTTTCAAAATGATAGAGCAGTGGAATTTGAGGGTAAATAGAAAAAATTTTTGTGATTGAAATGATTGGCAGCCTAGTACAGAGTGTTTATGAGAAGCTAGAGCATGTCAGGACTTTGGAATTATGAATTACAAACTTACTGTGTGGTATGGTATCCGTGCCTCCTGACGGAGAAGTAGAAGAAACAGATGTAGGAGAAACATCAGTCATGTCTCTGGAATATTTTGATGTCAAGATATCAAAACATCTAGTGAGAGTCTAGAAAGAAACATGGAGAAATAAAAATAGGGAAGTAGAAAATAGGCAGACATTTAAAATTTTCCTTAATATTTAATAATTCAAAATAATAAATTTTGGCATCAAGTAAACAAGATAAATCAAAATATTTCCTAGATCAAATGGGCATTAACAAAGATAGAACTTGGAAGCAATTATTTAGCTAATACTAACAAAAGTACCTTTGTTCCAGATTACCTTCATGGATGTCATAGTTGCTCCGTCTTTGTTCTTTGTGAGTTGGCATTGGCCAGAATACTGATACTGTTCTTGAAAACCTTTGAGTTTTTTTTTTAATACAAAGAGCAAAAACAAAACCAAGGAGACAGTATCCTGTGATGTAGGCTGTTATCGCAAGGTGAGTTTATTTCTGGCACTAACTTGTGACAAATTATTTGAAGAACTGAAACTTCTTTTCAGGTATAGCATATTTTATTTGTAAGATTTTGTTCATTTCAGTGTAAACCTCGGTCATTTATTGCACAATGAAGGAATCACCTAAAACCAGGAGAAACAAAGGCCTAGTTAAACTTGAATTTTATTTCACGTAGAGAAGTAACCAACATTTCTGATCAAATCAGTAAATATGTTTCAGTTCCTTTTAAATAAAGTGTGAAAAGCAAAGACCAGATTTTTATGTGCCACAAAGCAAAACGAAAACAAAAAGCCTTTCAGGGCATAATGCATTTTTCATTAAACTTATCACTGAACTATTTTGATTATGTAATTTTATCCTCTCATGAAAGTATAAGAAGTATGAATTCTGGGGTTAAGAAATAATTGCAGAAGGTGGTTAATGAGGCAGAACTCGCAAATCTGCATTTGTAGTTTTGTGGACAGATCATCAGTGGAGGGTACAAATGTAAAGAAAAATTGTTGATTGCATTCAAGAAATGCAAGGTTGGACTTTTTACTAATGCAGAATTTTACAGCCTCTCAGAGGGATATTGTAAGTATTAAATACGTGTAATGTGCTCAGAATAGCAACCTAGGGCGTAGTGAGCGCTAGTAAATGTTCGCTATTTATTCTTACAAGGATTTTAGTATGAAAGATTAAATCATGTTTTAATCATGCATAATAAACTGTACTATAATTTTATTATGGTGAATGTCCACTTGTAATTCAATGAAGAGTGGCTTTTTAAAGCAAAGAAGCAGCTGAAATGTTTTTCTTGGTGCTCTTATGTATGTACATGTAAATGGTGCTGGGACAGGCTATCCAAATGTCAACCCAGCGACAAAAAAGACGCAGGAGCAAATGTGTAACTCTTAGTTTTATTTTGAAATACGTTATTTTCATAAATCTGAAGATTTGATTAACTTATTTTTAGCACACCCGCTGCATGTGTGTACTTCTAAGTTTTATGGAATTAAATTGAAATTTATGGCCAAAAATGCTTAAAGCCATTGTCAAAATTACACACTTAGCACTTCATTGATTTGAAATCTAGTTTTCATTCAACATTCCTGCAATTTAAAATGTGTGACATAAGATATTCAAGAGTGATTACGTGAGTTAGTGCCCTCTGGTGGCACGCAGAGGACATCAGGCAGAGAGGGACTGACCCACCAGCCTGCAGATAGCTCTTCTAAAGAGGAGCCACTTGATATTTGGTTCTTTCTGAGAGCTTTTCTTTTTGGTGGATTTTGAAAAGTCCCATGGTGGTTGGTTTATGCTCGTCTATAATTTTGTGTTTTTCATGTGTTTGGTGCTTGTCAGTTTCCTACTCCATGAAGCCCTGGCGCTGGAGTTCACTAGTAACAGCCTCATAGTGAGCCTTCTTTAGCAGCTTAGGTTCTGGCTGAATTTCTGGGTGAGAGAATTTCCGGGTGAACTTGCTGTAAGAAGGTATACCAACGTTAAGATTTTCATGGAGGACCAGGACATCTAGTTTTAGATGCATCTCTTGACTTGCCTTTTCAAGGGGGGGACCGTGTCACATCCTGGATCGATGGTCTTTGGGTGACTCACTGGTACAGCTTGAGATGAGCCTGCCTGCTGGATTAGTAGTAGGTGGGCGTTCGTTTCCCATTTCCAACTTCCCTAGAGGGCACCCCTGCCTTTCCCATGTAGGTCCTTTGGCCAGACTCATTTCGCTTTGGGCTTTGGAGTCAGTCAAGGAACTGGATCCCACCTCTGCCTCTGAAAAGCTGGACCCTGGGAAAGTCGCTCTGTCTTTTATGAGTTTATTTAGCTGTGATATAAGGGCAGCTGTTGCTGATTCTAACCTGTGTCAAGAGACGGCTGTGAGGTTGAAATGGGTTGATATGTGAGAAAGTATTAACAAATTGAACTGTGCAGAGTGCTATTAAATACATGTTAGTTTCCTTCTCTTCCTCAAAAGCAAGGTCCTCCCTCCTTTTTTAATTTAAAAGGTCATTTTAAAACATGTTTCTATTTTGGAATGATTTTATATTTACAGCAGTATTGCAGTGATGGTACAGAGTTCCCATATACTCCTCATCTAGTTGCTCCTGCAACCCTCACTTTTATACTGTTGAATTTTCTTATAACTTTTTGTATATAATCTCTGTGAACTTTGATCAGATTTGGCTTAAAGTGCCCATTTAGCACTTTCCTAAGGCTGAAATGTTTGCCTTGAATACCTGAATTCTGCTGCACATGTTGCATTTGCTTCTGAACCATCCTTCTGTTTTTACCTTGGTCCATGTCTGTGACCATTTGACATCAGAATAACCTTCCTTAATTTTCCAGGATCTTAACGGCTAAATAGTCTTCCTGTTTATGCAGTTAATGAGCTGTGCAACCAAAGGAAAGACGTGGTAGGCAGTTTGAATCAGTATTTCAACTGGGTGCTTTTGCAGTCTCACAGCTACTCCTCATGCCCTCACAGTTTAAGTCGAGATGGAAGCACATGCACTTTCAGAAAAACCCCCCAAAATCCCAAAACATTTCTTATCTTCAGAAATACAAAAAGAAACTTATTGGGCTTCCCAATTAAAAGTCCACTGGTTAGTTGTAATGCATAGATAATCTATAATTAGCATTGTTATATAAACAAAAAATAGTAGCAACTCACATTTTATGTACCTTTACAGTTGAAGAAAATTATTTTGCAGACAACAGCTCATTTGGTTTCTTGGCAACCCTGAGAGATAGTCGGGGAGAGCTTTGTCACTCCCTTTTCATGTACCTAGATGAAGTCAGGGAGGCCAAGGAGTGATCTGGTTGAGGCCACATAGTGCGAGTTAGAGCCCAAGTTCTTTAGAGCCATTCTATACACGTGGACTGAACACCTCCAGTCCACGCCTCCCCCAGCACTTCTGCTTAAAGGGGCTTTGAAAATGCTATTTTCCCCCTTTTAAGTTGGCTAAATTTTACTCCAGTGATCATATTTATGCTTTTATATGCATAATAGCTCTTGGATACCTAATTGAAAATTTATATATTTTGTTTCAGCCCAGATCCTTACTGGATATTATGAGATCTGCATTGTTAGGCTTGATTTAGCAGAATCTCACCATCCTGTGCCTTTGGGGAAACCTGACACTGAGCATCCACAGGCCCTGGTATAAATACAGCCTATTCTGAGGTGACATCCTGTGTGGTCTTTGGGCTACATGTTGTGCTGGAGAGAAACCTGGACAGTAGAGACACATGTGACATCATTTTTTTTTTTTTTTTGTGAGGAGGACTAGCCCTGAGCTAACATCTGATGCCAGTCCTCCCCATTTTTCTTGAGGAAGATTGGCCCTGGTCTTACATCCGTGCCTGTCTTCCTCTACTTTTTATGTGGGATGCTGCCACAGCATGGCTTAACAAGCGGTGCGTTGGTGTGTGCCCGGGATCCGAACCTGTGAACCCCAGGCCACCGAAGTGGAGTGCGCACACTTAACTGCTTGCGCCACTGGGCCAGCCCCACATGTGACATCTTTTTTTGCAAGAACCACTGTGAGATATTTGAATGAGAAGAAGATGTAGTTTGACAAAATGATAAATGGGCCAGGTTCTTGAAAAGCTAGCAGAACGTTTAGACCTAATCAGAAAACAGAAGTGAGTCTCCTAAGAAAAATTTTTTCCAAATATGGTGGGGCTAGATGCTTTTATATAAATTCTAATACCTGTTGCTCTGGTATAAAAATTTAATTTTGTTCTCATGCTTGTTTATTTTGTTTTGTTTTTGGTTAGGTCTCCATTTCTAACAGCATCTCATTTGACCTTTCTGAAACCATGAGTTCAGATGAACCCATGTGCTGGTGGCTGTAGTGGCAGCTATTCCCAGACTTTTAAGTCTCATTGAGCACTTTGGTGAGTTTGGTGGGTGGTTTTTTTTTAAATCAATAGCATAGACAAACCTACAAAGTCAAGTGTTAAGAATTAATGTACGTTTTAATCTTTTGAAGTTCTAACAGTCTCATTCAAGAACCATCTTTTTTTTTTTTAAGATGACAAAGCATCCAAGTGT